GCACGCATGTGAAATAAAAGTTTGAATTAAAAAAAAATTAAATATGCTCATTATTTACAAGTAGAAAAAATTCAGATTAAAAAAAAGTTTAAATCTTTTAAGCTAACATTTTAATAAAATTATTCAGCAATAGCAATTCGATAAAATTGAACAAAAATACTTTCTTTTAGTTTTAGATTTTAAACTTAAATAATTATTTTACGGGGGTTTGTTAGGTTTTAAAAAAAATGATTTAAAAATATTTATTAACTGTTAGACGTATTTAAAGTATTTAAGAATAATTTCGAGGAAACATTAATTAATTAAGGATTAATATTAAAACGTATTCTACTTGGTTCAATAAAAAAGTACAGTTATTAAAATTTTTGTAAAAAGTAACTCTTAAATAATAACGATCGCTTTTATGTTAAAAGTTACCGAAACTCAACGAAGCGTGCTCAAGAACAGCTGCTGAAAAATAAAACGTCAATAGTTTTTCGAGTAATTTTTAAGAATAATTTTTTCGCTGAAATATTTCTTTTATACCTATAAAATTTTTATTCTAACATTTTATTTTATATTACTTGAAATAAAATTCCTTGTTAACATTAAAAATCTATTCAAAACGTTTGTTTAAGTTTTTTATTAATACGAGTGATTGTGCTTATCAACCGCTTTATGAAAATAAATAAATATTATATAAAATCGCTTTTAAAAATATTAGCTATTGCACAGTTTTTAATCGTACAATATTGAAATTTCCAGTTTATTTACTCGCTGACTTTTTAAAAAGAAAAAATAATTATTTAAATTACATATTTAAGAAGAAAAAAAATTAAATATTAGCATATTTTATAATCTTTTTTAAATTTAAGTTATAATGTTTTTTATTCGTTTAGTATAGACAAAACGTGACAAACATCGAGAAAATAAACAAATGTTTTTACATTTTAAAAAACGAAACATTCCAAAACATTTTTAAATAATAACATTTCTACATAAACGATTTAAAGTAGTTTTGCGGTAATTAAGTAAATTGGTGCAGTTAATGTCGATAAATATGAAAAGCAAATAAAAAGAATTTAATGACGTCAAAAATCACGTCGTGCTTATGCGTCGCGCAGTTCTTATTCATCGCAAGGCCTGCTATGTAATTTTATGTGTGTGTATTTTATTCAAATGTAATCTTTTAAAGCAGTTTGTGCGATTGATTTTGTAAACAAACAAAAAACTTTCAATAATAACTGCGTTTTCAATGAAATTATTAATAATCATCAAAGTTAATACAAATAATTTTAACCACTAATTCATTTTCCTCAGTGTACCCGATAACTGATTCTTTCTCACAAGAAAGAAAAGTTTTTAAGTTCTCAGAAATTGGTTTACTAACTTCAATTATTTTTGCTTCAGCCATATTCTTACAATCTCGTTATACTTAAAATTACTTTTTTCTGTTTTAAATACTAATTAAAATTATGAAGCCCACTCACTAAACATCATCAGCGGTATTGTGAAGCAGTTCCGCTTCCTCCTCACAAAGTAATTTAACATTTTTTGTTAGTTTCTATCTAGCTAATTGAGTTTCTACAGTAACTCAATAATTTAATTATTTCATTTGTTCATCTTATTAAGAAGAATTGTTTCAAATGTGTTAAACTTTTTAAAAGCATAAAAAAGTTATTGAAAAAACTTTTTTATTTATAAATAATTCATCTGGTTGAATCTTGTTGGACTTTTCTGGGCCGGGGGCTGCATTATTTTGGCGGCCTTTTTTATGTGTCACAGTGTAAAAATGACTTTAAAAAATACTGAATGGTCCTCTTGACTTTTTCCCCTAACATTGTGAGTCCCGGGGCTATAACCCTACTACCCCCACCCCACCTCCTCAATCCAGCACTGGAAATAAGACATAAGTATATAAATAAAAATTATATATACTCCTTGATAAATCGAAGAACACTTGTTTCTTTATAGTTGTTACTTGATATAAAAAATGTCGCTTTATTTGATAAAAAAAGTTATAAAAGAGCGACGTTTTAAAAAAAAAAAGTTCTTCGCGTTTTTTCGCGTTGAAAGCTATTTTTCTTTTTTTAACTGTCTCTCGTCGGTCCAATTAATCTTATTGCGCTTTTTTATTTGTTTTTGAAATGTTCTCAAAACGACAAAAAAATCTGGCCGGTTTTTCGCAACTAAATATTATTTCCGTGGTCAATTATCGAGTGCGATCGCACTCACTTTCTGACCAAGCCTGTATACATAATCTTTTTTTAAAAAAAACTGTTTGTTTTGTATTAGGATATGGTGGTAAAACTATAATAACAAACATAACAAATACAACTATATATTAAACTTTTTTTGATCAATCTTCCAAATATTAGGAAATTTTAAAAACAATATATATTGATGTGTTTTTAAAACATTGATAATTTGGGTACTAATTGTCTTGTTTTTTTTGGACTAACAGGTATTTTTAAATTATTGATTGTTGAATATACCAGCTTTATCTTATTAAAAATATTGACTTTTCAATATATCAACTTTGAAAGCAGCAATCTTGAATACGTTTTCAATTTTAGAAAATGTAAACAAATATAAAACCAATCACTTTTTTCTAATAAAAAAAACAAGTAATTGAGTTGTTATTTTACAAAAGAATTTTTCGAATAGTTTAGTTTTTAAAAATTATAAAAAAATACTGATAACAAATTCTTAACACAAATGGGGGGAAAAAAAACTATAATGTTAATTTAAACCGACGGCGACCACTTTACTTTCTCAGAAATCCAATTTCTGTGGAACAGTTCTACGATATTATCACTATTTTATTACAAAAAAAAGTATAAGGTTCAAGTCTACTCAAGAAAAGTTTTCATGCAAAACAAAGAGAGGAAATAGAGATATGGTTTGCTATGACAAAGATTTCTGTTATGAAAATATGGAGATATGCTGCCTTAGAAAAATTGTTAATATATGGAAATATGCTGGCCTTAGAAACTATATAATTTCTGAAGTACAAGTTGTGCAACAATTTATTAAACTAAATAAATTGTACCTTTTGATGTGAAATACAAGTTATCTAGCCTGGAACACAAATACCAAAAAAAAAACACGAGAATCAGTTTGAAGAATGCCTTGAAAATTTGTTTGATATGTTCTCAAAGAAAGAATTTAAATCTTGGAAATGCTTTGATTAATAGTTTTCATAACTTTTATGTTATCTTTCTCCAGAAGTAGTTGTGTTTTCACTAGATGACTCTCACTTAGAAATATTTGTCAAGTATCAGATTTTAAAGTCATTGATTTGCTTTCCAGTTCCAGAGATAGAAAAAGTAAATATGGAAAAACCTTATCCTATTTTAATCTTACCAAACAGCAAGCTTTCAGAGCTTGTTACTGCTGATAGCTGGCTTATATTTATACCCCTAGGAATTGTAAATCAGGTTAAAGATTGGGTTCATTCTCATCCCAACTTCTTAAAAACTAAATCATATAGTGTTTTTGAAAATTGTGTTAAAGGACTTAGTGTAACTAACGACTGCGCTGAAAGAAACATTGGCTTAAATAATTTTCTCAAGTATTCTCAAAAGGAAGAACAGAGTCAAAATATACTATTTGTAGCGAAAGGGGAGAGAAAAGAAGTAACAAAGAAAGTAACTCAAAAAGAACTTATGACAATTAAAAGCTTTCTATATGATAATATTGAAATATGTTTATGAATAAAATAATTATTAGGGATGCACCGAACGTTCGGTTTTGCCGAACGAATGGCTGTTTTGCTGAACATTCGGTTCGGCCAAACCTTGACAAATGTTCGGCCGAACATTTGCTAAAAATGCTAATTTGGAAATTAATATCATCAAATCATCATGACTCAGCCTAAATAGCTACAGTACTAATAGATATGGCTTTTTATTGAAAACCCGATTCTTATCTACAGCGCATAGTAGGTAAGAATATGTTTTTCAATAGAACATATGAGTGCCTTAGATTTACATCAAGTTTTTTGAATTTAGAATAAATTTAATTTGATCGCATGTATTACTTAAAACCGAATTTATTACGTAAAACTAGCTTACATCATTTAGAAAAAAAAGTACTAGTATAAGTGTAAAATGAAAAATCCTTTCAATTGAGCAATATTTTAGTTAATTTTATCCTTTTATATACAATAATAATAATAATTAAACTTAACTTAAGTTATAAAATTCATGCAAGAAGCAAATTTTTTATTTTGGAAAAATTGCAAAAATGTAATAATATAAAATAAACTTAAAATAACAGATAGAAACGTCCGTTTTAAGTGGCTCCTATTGCTGCTGTGTTGAAAAAAAATCTTTATAAAGAAAGTTGCTCGTAATTTGGCTACTCAACTAGTTGAACTGAAAAAATTATTTGAAAGGAATAAACTTAATTTTGGGGCACCCGATGAAGATTAGGGTATCTTCATATTTTCCTGACTTTTTTTTTTTACGGTATCATAGTTTAGCACCGATGTATTATAGAGGCTCCCAAGCTGCTATTGTTGTATATGATATAACAAATATGGTATGTTGTTTTGACTTGAAATTAAATACACTGCATTTTTTTTTATTATAGTTAAATTTTTGGAAGTTTAAGAACATTTAGGATTTATTAGAAATGTAAATTTATAATAAATGATAATAAAAATTTCTGATTAATTTACTACTATAAATTCCACAAGAATATACCACAAAAATTAAAAAAGCTTTAGGACTAAATTTTTTAATGTATCATTTGTATTATTTTTTTTACGTAATTTTGGGGCACCCGATGAAGATTAGGGTATCTTCATATTTTCCTGACTCACGCAATTTACATTTTTTTAAGTCATTTGTCAATCATCATTTCTTTAACTCTCTTCTTTGTATTCTGTTAACTTAAATAGCTTTCAGCCTTGTTGTTAGTGAATTTGTTTTTAAAAAAAAAAGATTTACCTTATGTGTATTTATCTATATCGTTGCTTTAAGTTGGCAAATATAAATTTAACATTTTATTTTTAGCTGCATTTTTAACACAAACAGTTTGTTTTGATGATACTACAGTAAAGTTTGAAATATGGGATACTGCTGGCCAAGAAAATATCTTTTCAACTATAATATTTTTACAAATAATAAAATGATAGTTATTGTTACTATTTTAATATGCATGTCACATCATATATATATGTTGTATTATGTATTTATGTTGTTATATAGTTATGTTTGAGAGTTTAATTCTATCTGTTAACCTTTGGAATTAGGAAAAATGAGGTCAATCTTTTTAAGGTCAGCAAAAATTGTTTGATACTTTTTGATAAAAAGGTCTAACCATAAAACATAAAACAAAGTCGGCAATTTTTTGCCGACCTCAAACATATTCAGGTTGGCATTGCCGAATAATTCCCAAATCAATTCCCAGACCCTAATTCCGAGGGTTGATCTATATAAACTCAAAATAAACTTTGTAAATTATAAATTACAAAGTTTATTTCAAGTTTATATAGATAGAATTAAACTTTCAAACAAAAATATATAAAAACATAAATACATAATACAACATATACATACGACGTGACAATAATAATTATAAAAATTATTATTATTTGTTACTATTGTTATTGTATTATTGTTACTAATTTTCAAGATACATAAAATAATATTATTATTAATATTGTAATTATTGCTTTATCTTTAATAATAATAGTCTATAGCTCTAATAGTCTATAATTTGTTAATTAAAGTATACTATTTAAAAATTTGAGCTTTTATCTTATTTTGATTAGTTTGAGTTTAAATTAGTACTTTTAATTACTATTGCAAGCTAAAATTTCAACATTCATATTGTTAATCTTCAATTGCAGTTCATCTGTTAAGTATACAGTTTTTGTGTTAAATAGAATATCCAAAATATCTATAAGATTCATATTCAAATTTTGCAGACGCAACAGAAATCAACATTTTCAAATAAAAAGTTTTATTAAGATTAGTTTGATTCAACATTTTTCCATAACTTTTTTTTTTTTTACGGTATCATAGTTTAGCACCGATGTATTATAGAGGCTCCCAAGCTGCTATTGTTGTATATGATATAACAAATACGGTATGTTGTTTTGACTTGAAATTAAATACACTGCATTTTTTTTTATTATAGTTAAATTTTTGGAAGTTTAAGAACATTTAGGATTTATTAGAAATGTAAATTTATAATAAGTGATAATAAAAATTTCTGATTAATTTACTACTATAAATTCCACAAGAATATACCACAAAAATTAAAAAAGCTTTAGGGCTAAATTTTTTAATGTATCATTTGTATTATATTTGTATATTTTTTATAAATAAAGTTTAATTAGTAGCAATAAAATATCATCAACAGTAAAGTTTAATTAACTACAGTAAACTCGTTTATTCAAATTTCCTTCATACTCAAAGCTATCTTTATTCCCCATGAATTTTCCTTAACAAATTCATGCAAATATCAATCAATTATTTGAACCTGCAGTTATTTGAAATTTTGGTTATTCTAAATGATTTTTTACTCCTCTTGACAAAATCCCTGTAAGTTTCGAAGTTTTCTTCAATTGATACCATTCTATTGTATTTCAAAACGTAACATGGAACGTTATCAAAATATAACAAACAAAATAATGTTAAAATATAATTAAAGAAATCACATTGCAAAGTAGTGTGATAGAAATTTCAACATGACATCTACACAAAAGAAGACAGCTCTGACAATCAAAGAAAAATATCTTGCTTTTAAAGATTTACAAAAAGAACTTATTAAAAATAATGCTGCTAAAAAGTTTAGTGTTCCATAAAACACTTTAACTTACTGGGTTAAGCATAAAGAAGACATAATCAGCAAGTATGAGTCTGATTAATTTGGAGCAAAGAGACAAAAGTTAAGTTTGGGAAATCATGATTCCGATGATAAAGCTGTGTTTAAATGGTTTATGAACACATGTGAACAAAATGTACTGGTCGGTGAACACGTCATAAGAGAAAAGGCTTTATTTGCAATGTTGAGTACTTTTTCAAAAGAAGTCAAGATTGCAGATTTTAAAGCTTCAGAAGGGTGGCTTGATTGGTGGAAAAATAGACAGTTTTTTTGTTTTTAAATCTTTACTTCCAACAAGGCTGCAAACAACCACTATTAGAGTTAAAAGTTACTGGAAAATAAAAGATGAAATTTATAGAAAACGATAATGATTAACAGACAACTTGGAAGATTGCAAATTGTATGAATAAGGAAAACAAGATGAATGAAGCAAATTCCAAAAGACTGATGTTTAAGGAAAAAATTAGACGAATAAAAATTTTTGAAGCACTTAGGAACAGTCACAGTTAAAGAATGAGACTTGATGGAATGACAAGTAACATGAGAATGAATTTTAGTAGATGGCACAACAGACCCTAGCTCTTTTGAGCAGTACCCATCATAGTAATAATTTGTAGAAAAGAGAAAGAGAAGCAACATTATGACAATATGATAACGGTCGGAGGTTGGCTGCAAAAGCAGGTTCAACCATGTTTACAAAAAAATGTGTACATAGGTAAAGACATCAAGTTTGGAGCAAACCTATTTGCCATGAATAGAGGGGTATTTACAGCACTGGCGATTTTGGTTTATTTTATCACTAGCCTCCAACAAAACCTTTTATCTAAAAAATAAATTGAGCAAAGTCCATTTAACAGGCTTAGCAGCAGAAAATGGCATTGGCGAAAAGCTGCCTGTTTATAATTGGAAAAGCAGAAAAATTATGTTTCAAAGGTATGAAAAGCCTACCTTGCAAGTACAAGTCCCAAAACAAATCCTGGATGGACTCTAAAATCTTTACTAGTTTTTTAAGAAGACTTGACAAGTCTAAAGCGGTTGAATTAGTATTTTTACCACCAACACCAAATTTTTACCACCTCCAAAACTCAACCAATAGACCAGGGAGTCATAAGGGCATTGAAGGGTTTTTATTGCACGAATGTTGTGTGTTGTCAGATCAAATACATCAATGCTGATAAAACTCTGGATTCCATTTTAATTAGCGATTGTGCTGAGATAGATGTGGAGAAAGATGGAGAGTCAAATGATTTGCCTCCCAAAAAGCCAAAATGTTCAGATTGCACATGCAATAGAGTTAATTGACTGCTGGTCTCTTTTTAATATCAATTTTGAAAATAACAGCATCAAAATCCAACAACCGCTCAGCCTAGTATCAAAGATGTTTGATAAACATTTTTTAGAACCAATAAACCAATCAAAAATAAACGATTTTTTTCAAAAAATTGTAAAGATTTTATTTTTCTATTTTAAATTTGTTTTTTTTAGAAGGTAAAGACTTAACCAGGATCTTATTCCAAAGTTTGTCTTCTTTTTTACTCCCTAATTCTGTTAAAATTCGATAGTAACTTGAAATAAGTCACTTTAAAGAAGATTTTCAGTTGTTGTAACTGTCGATTATTCGAATAAAATTTTTGTTCCCCTTGGAGGTTCTAATAACCAGGTATTTTACTGGAATAAAAATCTGAAATTAAAAAAATAAGGCACAATGGAAGTAGTAAAACATTTTTTTATGATTTTATTGCTAACGTTACATTGCCATACTACCTCCATGCAAATGAATTTAATACTTTTTATAAATATTGTGTTTTATGTTTAAAACACGTAAAAAAGATTTTATTTTTTGATTTTTAGTTTCAATTGTGTATTAGGTATATTTTCAGTTCTATTAAATAAAAAATGTCTAAAAAATCCTCTATTCAGTTCCAGTACTGGGAAAATACCAGTGCTGGTAATCACTTGTTGCTTTATTAATGCGATATTGTTCTTATCAATACACCAATATTCTCTACTACTAGTACAGTAGTAGTACAGTTTTTACACCTTTTATTTGTTTTATATAATAACAATAATTTTTAGAAATTGTTCAAGAATATCTAATAGGCACCACATGGTTTAAAAACAATCAGGAATTCCCTACCCTGTGGGCGCAGAAATAAAAAAGATGTCTTTTAAACGTTTTCGACATCTTTTGAATGTCTTTTGAACATTTTGGACATCTTTTGAACCTTCAAAAGACGTCTTTTTTTGGTCCAGTGCCAACTGGATAGTATTTTTTTTTTAATGTTAACCTAGATCTTTATAAAAACAAGTACTTAACAAAATACATAAAAGTTTTTAAAATAATAACCATTTTATATAAAAACTTATTATTATCATTTTTTAACAAATAATTTTTTTATATTCATATCATATTAAAGCACTTAAAACTAATTCTGCTATCCATCACTTTATGATATGATACCATATGATATATATATATTACAAAAATTCAAGCCAATAACAAAAAATGTTATAAATTTGGTTTCTCCTATCTTCACCCCTACACTGAATACTTTGTTATATTAAATATGGTAAATATACTATCAGGGTTCCCACTTCTCCATAAAAACCTTAAATATCCTTTAAAAAATCCTCTTTAAAATATCTTAAATAACCTTGAAAAAAGATAAAATTTGACTGCTCTCCTTAATTTCTCCTTGTTTATTTTAATTTTTTAATCATCTAGGAAATTTTATAAAAGTGAAGGATTATACTTATTAATAAAGAAGAAAATATGTAGTACTTTAATAGTTTGCAAACCTATTACTATTATATATATATATATATATATATATATATATATATATATATATATATATATATATATATATATATATATATATATATATATATATATATATATTAATATTAGTTTATAATGATTTTTCTGTTTATATTTAAAATTTATTGAAAAATATAAAGTTCTGTTTCTAATGTAAATCATTTCTAATGTAATTGTTTTTTCCTTAATTCTCCTTACTTTTCAAAAATTAACCCACCCTTCACCCCTACACTGTATACTTAGTTATCATTATTACAATTTTACAAACAACATAACTAACAAAATATAACAAGATATAAACAAAAAAGCTTACAATTAAAAAGGTCAGAAAACCAAAATCATTAGTGTTAGAGTAAAACTAAAGTTTAAAAAAAAAACGTAGCAGCAGGCAGTGGAATAATTTGACATTATCATTTTACAATTAAATTTTGGTAAATATTTTTCTTTTAGGTTGTCCATAAAATCTTGTTGGTACTGACTACTTTTTTATGCTATGCCCATTTTTGTACTAACAGTTACAATTTGTTGCTTCTCTGAGTATGCTGATCGTTTTTACTTTTCTCAATATAGTTAATCAGTGTGGTCATTTTTTGTCAAGTACTTTTTCACTTTTTTCGAATTACTAATTGATGCTAATCTTGAAGTAGCCACTTATTTGTAACTGCCTTCTTTCAAAGAGTTAGAGGTTTAAAGGTTACCTTCCTTGTGGATTCAGAAGAAACTGCCTCAATTAGGTTTAGTTTTTCCTCTGCTTGTGATCTCCGCTATTATTTGATTGTTTTATGGCAAACTTGTTTGCACAAGTTTTGCACTGAGCAGGTTGCCTAGCAAATTTAAAATACAGTTTAATAAGAAATAAAAGCAACAAGATTGTATAAGCCTAGAGATAAATTATTATTAAATAAATAAATGGAAAAAAAAGAGTTATTATTTTAAGTTACTAATTGTTTATAAAAATAAATTCTTGTGAACAATTTAGCTGCAATACCAAATGATACCATCAATACCAAAACAATACTAATATAATTAATTCCTTCAATACCAGTATTGCCTGATCTCAATATTGGTACTGTAAGGTATTAAAAGCAGATTCAATACTGGTTATGTAGTGATTAAATGCAATATATTTAAATGCAATGGAAGTTTAAAAAAAATACATTATATTACTCTACAAATGTTTGCACAAGAATTTATTATAATTAGGAATTATTCTTTCAAATTATTATTATTATTAATTTTTTAGTTATTATTATTTAATATTAAGTTCTTTTCTTGTAATAGGATACATTTTCAAGAGCAAAAAGTTGGGTTAAAGAATTACATCGACAAGCTAGTGCAAATATTGTTATTTCTCTTGCTGGAAATAAAGCTGATCTTGGAAACAAAAGAATGGTAGACTATGAGGTAGTTTTAGTAATAAGAGTTTAAAGTATTTTTTTAAGCAAGTATAACTGTGGTATTGGTATAGTGGTACCGTGCCAGCTTCATAAAATCAGAAATTCTGAGCTTAATTATCACCCCATTTACGGTAGTACCACACTCAACTTATTTTTCTGCACAGCAACCTTGTTCGTCAAGGCTCATGCTTGTCAATGTTAGTTTTAAAGTCAATATTAGCTTTAAAATATAAATTCTATTTCTCAATGCTCATGTTTTGAAGTTAAAAGATTGAAAAAGGGTTGTAACAATGATATATAAAATTAAAGTTGATAAAAATGAGTAACCTCTTTGACATTAGTCAGGCCTTGTTTTAAATAAAAAATACTAAATGCAAAAACCTAATGTGAATTTGACGTCATAAAATTCTCTTTATTTTGTTATTTTTTAGACATTAACTTTTACTGCAATAATATCTACTGCAAAAGTAATTAAATATTTTTTAAAATCTTTTTTATAATTACTATAAGTTTATTTTCTTTTATTTTTTGTTAACATTAAATAAATAAATTTAATATTACATTCTTAAAAATGTTTGATATTAACAAATTTTAAATGAATCCACCAATGAATCGGACATAAATTGACATAAATCGGACATAAATCGACATAAACGAATTATCGACATTTCTTGCATTATGAATTATCAAAATTTCTCAACATAAATGACATACAACTGCATAAATGAATTAAAATATGTTAAATTTTTAAATGATTGCTTCTTAAATTTCGAATCGCGGCTTTGCAACTACAAATGATTTTTTATTTTAAAAAAATTGGTGAGTTACAAATAAAAAAAATTGTCATGTCAAAATATGTCAATTTATCAGGGATTATCTTTTTCCAGATATTAATTAACATTTTCAATACATGCAAGTTGAGGTATATATTTTTGTAATATATTTGTTTTTTAAGCTTTTTTCACTCATCACTCATAGAAAAATTATGAAAATGTAAAAAAAAAATAGGAAACAACTTAGCTAAAAGCGAAACTAAAAAGAAAATAAGGTAAAATAAGTACCAGATTTATTCCGGATAATTTATTCAAACAATTTTCCAGATTTTTAAAATATTTTTTAAGGTTTTTAAAATGATTTATGATTTACTTTATTTATTAAAAATTTTTATATTATTAACGATTTTGTTGTGAAAGCAAAGGTTTTTTGATTATAATTTTTTTTTATGAATGTTTTTTTTATAAAATAAATACTATTTTTAAAATTTTATATAATTTTGCTTCGTGACATGACATACTTTAAAAAATCCAACATGACATACTTTAAAAAAAAAAATTTAATAATATAGGGACCTATTTAATGTTCGAGGGTCGGTAGCAACACCTTAAAGGGATCCCAAACTCCCAACACATGTTGTCTTCATATTAAAGATAATGTTAAAAAAAAAGGTTTGAACCAAATTTTTTTGATTAAAAATAAATAATGAATGCATACCGTGAAAAACAAATGTTGTTGTTTTTGCCGAAGCTCGTTTTCTCCATTTTTTTCAACTACTCGGAGTCTTCAAATTATGCGTCGCAATCTACAGACTTTGGCAATTCTTTTGAAGCGCGTTTAATTCATAAAAGTTTTAGTATTTGACGTCACGGTAGACTTGAAATAAATTAAACTCTAGAAATATTTTTATTTATTTTTAGTCGAAGTTTTTTTGATTATTTGTTTAGTTTTTGTTTTTTTTTCCTACTTTTAATATTTAAAAAGATATTAAAAACCTTAAATATTTTATGCTGGTTCGTTGCTATAAATTGTTATTGCGCCATATATTTAAGTTTATAAATTATGAATATTTATTATCTCAAAAATTGTTTTACATTAATTACCCGTATAAAATTAGTAACAGCTTTATTATTTGGTTAGACGATATTTCGTTTCAATTTGCTTTGCATGAAGTTCAGAAAGTCAAACGAAAAAAATTAGTTTGAATAATCACGTCGAAATATATTTAAAACAAATTATTTTAATGACGGGGGTTCTAAAGTTTTTTATAACAAATGTAGGTAAAAAAATAAATAACTAAATAAAAAGTTCAGTATTAAACACCATTTCTTTATTCTATTGTAACTGTAAATATTGAATTATTAACTTGAACTAAATTTACTTATTATTTAGAATGGCTAAGCAATAAAAATAAAATGCCCCTAAAATTATGCAAGATTGTGTTGTTTATTTGATAATTGTTGTTGGTAATGTTGTTTATGTTGATTATTTTCATAAATATCAAAATAGTTCCAGATTAATCTGTTCGTTGCTTTGCTCATTGTTGATTTATTTCTAATTTAATTTTATCTCAAACTATAATTATATGTTAAAAAAGAAAAGTTTTTATTTCATCGGGCACTCTTTTTATAAAAGAGTAGAACAAAAAAGAAAGAAAAGTTTCGCGCAATTAAACTTTGAATGAATAAGAGTTGTATAGAATATATATTTTTTTTGCTTCACTCATTCTTTTTTTTAGATGAGAGAAATAAAAGTTTAATAGTAAATTTTCTTTGAATAAGTGAGAATTGGAAGAGAAAATTGCTTGAAAATTTGTATTTGTTAATTGTGTTTTTAAAAAATTTTAATTTTTCATGTTAAGAGACAAATGCCAATTACGACACAAATTTGGAAATACCAAATATAATATGTTTTTTAATCCGCGTTATGACATTTTAACAATTTAAATTACCATCTATCTTGAATTATTGCCTTTAATTAATGTGTTAATTATTGCGTTATTTAATAATAATTTGTCCGTATTTTTGTTAAATATTAGTTGTATAAAACGGGCGAAAATATACAAACTTTATGTTTTTTATTTGATGGTTATAAAATATTGAACAGTAAACTTATAATCAAAATTTCTAATGCCAACTTGTGTTGCAATTAATTGTACTTTTAATGCAAAATCAGGATCTCACAAATCCTTTCACGAATTTTTATATCTGATATTACTGTCAACTGTATTGTTTAGTGTATTCTTGTACTTTTTTTTCATAATCTTAACAGGTTCTAATTAGTATAGAGTTGCTGACACTTTAAAAATTTCATTATCAAAAATCAAATGTAAAATAAAATGGTATTTCCTTTTTATCCATATCCAATTCAGCAAATTTAGCAATTTAAATTAAATCAGCATGATCAAAAAAATTTTATAATAAAAAAAGTTAACAATTCATTAAATATCTCTAATTAATACTGTCAGTTTATGAAAGTAATTGTTAATAAATATTTTTTTTCGACGGGAAAACAAAAAATTGTCATAGCGTAAAAATAACCAGAGAAGTTAGAAAATAGTTCCCATTGTTTAAATAAAAATAATTAAGAATCAGAATATATAATACTGCGCTCTCTTGCGCAAAAACAAGAGACTGTATATAAAACGTTCTATATAATGTAAAATACTCGTATGAAAATCATGAGATTGGTAAGTAAAGCTTTAATATTTGTTTTAATTTAAATAATTAAAGAAATATAAGTAAGATATATAAATCTAAAAATTATTAAGATATCTGTAAAAAATAAGTTGCTCCTATAAAATAAAAATAATTTATTGTTTTTACTTTTTACAAAATTTTTTTTGCGATGTTTGGAAAAATAATACAAATAAATTTGTTTTGCTGTATGTTAAAAAAATACTACAGTAGAAAAACGCAGCTTAGTTTAATTACACTTTTCTTTTGTTAAAAGTCTACCGTGACGTCAAATACTAAAACTTTTATGAATTAAACGCGCTTCAAAGGAATTGCCAAAGTCTGTAGATTGCGACGCATAATTTGAAGACTCCGAGTAGTTGAAAAAAATGGAGAAGATGAGCTTCGGCAAAAACAACAACATTTGTTTTTCACGGTATGCATTCATTATTTATTTTTAATCAAAAAAATTTGGTTCAAACCTTTTTTTTTAACATTATCTTTAATATGAACACAACATGTGTTGGGAGTTTAGGATCCTTTTAAAATATTTTTTATTCAAATATTTTTTAAATCCAGCATTTTTTTTAATTATATACAACATATTCAGGGGGTGCCAGCAGTCATTTTCAAAAAAAGTTGTTTTTAGAACCACCCTACTGATTAATAATCCTTTTTTTTTATTATTATTATTACAAGGTTTTGAGAATATCAAAGAAATTTCAGAACTTTTGAGATAGCAGTTGTTAATTTTTTAACATTTAAGTCTATAAATTATTATTCGACTATGTTACTTATTATTAGATTAATAATTATAAATTTCATTTTAATAACTAAAACAATAACAATTAAGTAAATCTCTCTATATTTACTTTTTTGTAATGGTTTTTCAACTGAATTAATTGTTATCAAATAATCTGAAAATATTAATACGCTAATTTAATAGTAGTAGTTAATAGTTGACTTACATCATTTTCTAGGCTTTTCTATTTTAAAGAAGTTTCTAGGCTTTTCTATATGCAGTTTTTTTTTTTAATTTTATTTACTAACAACCCGTATTACGGGTTGCTTACTGTTAGTTTATATTAATAATATTTAATAAAGTAGTTTAAAGGGATCCCTAAGTGCTCCTAACATATGATCTCAAATGAAAGAGCATAAAAAAAAAAAGTCAGTCTTTTTCACTAAATTGTAATAATAAATGCATGCTTTACACTTTCACGGTTAGTTTTTTCTTTAAAAAAATCTTTTTGCGATTTTTTTTTTTGTTGTTGTTTAATTACTTTTTTTCTAGCTTAGTATTTTTTTAGCAATTCTTAAAAGTAATGTTTTTATCATAAAGAACGTCACACAAAATTTATTATTCTGAATAGATGATTTGCTCTTTCGCGCGGAAATTTTCTTTCAACGTAAAACATTTTTGAATTTAAATTACTTTAAATCTCTGTGTGGAAAATTTTTAAAAGGTCGTTAAAGTGAAAAGTTAAAAAGGGAAACACCTTAATTCGAATTTTTTCTTCATTCTAACAAAACAGCTTGGTTTTTATCTTTGTTTATA